GAAGGTACTTCCTTTTTATGAGCTCCTGTAATTGTACCTTGCATTGCGCTCACATACTTTACGAGACAAGACCACACTCATTGCCATAGTGGGTCAGAGGAAAGGTCTCTCCTCCCAAGCCCAGCCAGTGTCACACCAGACGGTAACATGTTCAGAACCAAATGACACTGCGGAGGACGGTCACCATGTAATCACCTCAAAGGCTGCTCCCAAATCCAATGGTCACCACCCCCTGACTAATGACTTATACGCTGTATCACAAACAGCTTTTATTTTCCTCAGGGACTATCATCCCGTCAAAGCCACGATGCTCTCATTTATTTCAAACCTCTTGGACTCTGCGGGACTGGGAAGGGGAATTTGTGCTCCTCCAGCCTCAAACCCTGCCCCAGTCGCTGCTGCTGATACATCCCACAGAGCGAGCTGCTCCAGGGCCCAGACAGGGAATTACCTTCCTCATCTCTTGCAGCAGCTGCACTTGGAAGTGGTTCTTAAGGCTAGCCATCTCCTCCTGCAGATCCTGTATCTGGGGGTCTGGCTTCTTGTTCTCCTCCTGAACAGCTTGCAGCTCTCTCTTCAGGTCTTCCACCTCCTGGCTCAGCTGCTTGATCTGCAGCTCATACCCCTCCGCGCGGTCAGCCATGCACGCCCTCCCGGCCAACGCCTCCCTGGTCTCCTCCAGCTTCAGCTCTGCGTCCTGCCGTGAAGTCCTCTCGCCCTGCAGCAGCTTCTGTAGCTCTCGCAGCATAACAGCGTGGTCACTCTGTTCCTGGGCTCGGTCGTGCTGCTGCGTGATCAGACGGGCTTTGGTCTCGGCTAGCTGTTCCTGGACAGACTTCAGCTCTGTCTCCAACTTCTCGGTCTCGTCCTCTGCTTTCTTAATGGCGTCATCCAGGTCCTGCTTCATCTTCTTCTTGTCTGCTTGGTAGGAAGCTTCCATGCGGGACTTCTCCTGCGTGACTGTTGACAGAGCACTGGTCAAGGTGGCCAACTGGGTCTTCAGCTGGAGCACTCTTTTATCAGCCTCACTAGCAGCAGATGACACATCCCC